AAGTCCTGAAGACTTTAAACTCAGTACTTCAAATCATGACACAAACTACCATAACATTGTTATATATTAAAATTGTTTCATATTACTTCTTTGAAAAAAATATGATAGCATATATGACAACTTCACACTTACTTAGAAAGCTAACACTACTGAATTTCCTCTTTATTTTTGTATCTACCACTTTTAAGCAGATGATATTCAAAAATCTTCCTTGGTATACTAATTCACAAGAAAAAAAAAATTTACTGAACCAGCCACAAAGTGGAACTATACAAAAACACTAAAAGCACGGAATAACTAGGAGTTCAGAGGTGCTCCACTTGACTGTCACTCAGAAGCTGGCTGCTCCCAGGGTAAACTTGGTAAAGCCGGAACAAGGATTTTCTTGATGCCGGGAAAAAGTTGTGTAGAACTCTGTTCTTGGTGCCAGAGTTGAGCCTGGACACTAGGATGTTCAGGAGATTAAGACATCTTTTTGTGCACTGGCCTTCAAATGTTCTTGAACGAATCATACAGAATTTCACAGCCTTGGCCAAAGGTAGCTTGGTATCACATCAAAGGATCAAGTTTCTCCCAATCATATTTCAGCTTTGAAGTGAAATACAATGCTAAAAATTACCTGAGAATTATATGGATAAAATATAGATGACGGGAAACGTAGATTTAAGTGCAACAGACATCACTGAAAAACTGTAATCAATGTTAAAACTCCCCATATCCCAATTAATATCACAAATTAAAGCAAATCCCACTCTCCATCACCTCATACTTATGAGAAACATGAGAATAGTCTTTGACTATTATTTTACAATCAGCATATCATGTTTTTAAAGAACTGTCAAAAACAAAAGCCTGTGAATACCATAAATTTTAGAAAACAGTTCTAATAATAGAACATGAAAATAGAACATGAAAGAGTACCTACGAAAATTTTAATTAATATAAAAGATTGCATCAATTACGCTTTACAACAAACTGCTTTTATGCAAAATTTAAATGGTTTCTTTCCAAACTATACCTTCCAGCAAAACAGACACCACTATTTACATAGTTTATTTTAAAATAGCATACTATCTTTCAGAAAGGTGCTGAAAGCATGATATAGCAAACCATTGTGATGTTTTATGAGAAATAGCTATGCTATGATCAGTGTCTGATGAATTAGATTTGTGGTATGAGTCATATATTATTCCTTAAATGTAATTTTAAATAAACATGACCAACATACAAATTTTTAAATACAGTTATAACTTTGTTTTGCAATAAACATTATAATGTGATAAAATCAGTTTCTCCCTAGTACTGAAAATCAAAATAGGTATTTGATAGTAAAGGGAGCTATTCAGATTCCAATGACTCTAGCCATTCTCAAGTAATTATCTGCTTTTTAAAATCACCTCTTGAACTGTACTCCTTTGATGTCTCAGCATTATCTTGAAAAACATGAACAAACAATTTAAAAAACAAAACAAAACACTGCCGTTCCTTGGAGACAAACGGTTCTAACCCACCAGACAAGTTTGACTGGAGAAATGTCCAAACTTTAGGGAAATATTTACAACACTGCAGAGTCAAGCCATCTTTTAATACTTCTAGAAACCTACATTCTCAAGAAATGCCTAATTCACCACAAATCACAAGCAAATCCTCACTTAACAGCCAACCCAACAGTATTGTTTTATTTTAAAGAATGTTTAACACTAACTGTATGATAATAATTGAGTAAGGTCTAGATATTGAAACCAAATAAATAATGGCAGATATGTTTAAAACTAGATATTATTTTTTATAAGCAAAAGAGATTTGCCTTCAAACAGTTTTTTTCAAGATGAAAAAGATTTATTTGGAAAAATCAGCACAGGACAAAGATATCCTTAATAATCTGTCTCAGAATACCTGAATATTCAGAATATATATGAAATGTAGGTGGAAATTCCGATTTCACAGAACATCAGTGTTTATACAAATTAAACTCCCATACCCTCCCACCCCGACATATACTACTCTATCTACCCCTTATTAACATTAGCTTTCATTAATTAAGCTTCTATCTTCAGTGCTACTTGCACAAATTAAAAAGTAAAATCATTTTCATTTTTAACGACTAGGATTAGTTAAAGCAACCAAAGCATTACTGTTACAGCAAAGTTTAGTTAAGACCATAAGAGAATACCACTAATAACAGTTTTAAATTATCCAAAATGATTTCTTTATTGAGATTAAGTAACTACATAGATTTCACAGTACTATGGAATACTTATATTTAGCTAAAGTCACAAACACATTTCAACATTCAAAATGATGAGCATCATTACCATTCTAATCTACAAAGCTCATGAATAAAGAAAATTACAAAACCTCAAGTGTTACAAAAAAAAAAAAAAAAAAACTTTTAAGTCTACATACATTAACAATAAAACCATTTCTTCCAGGTAACAGGTAAAAGTATAAAGGCATACCACTGACTTTTTTTTCTAGATAGCCAGGAATGAACGAATGTTTAATATCTACGACGCTTATTAGGGCCTTCAAAGTTGCCCCCTTGACTTCCTCTACCAAAGCCACCAGGACCACCACTCACAGGACCTACACCACTCATTGGTGCTTGAGGGGTTTCAGAACCTGTTCTACTCCCCATAGGTGAACCCATCTGAGATGGCGGTCCTTGAGGAAATCTGTCATTGTGCTATGATACCACACAATAAGGAACAGAATATGAAGTCCATTTGGAACACGCCAAATATAAGTGACAAGAAAAATTGGCAAAATCCCAAGTGGTGGTGTCATGAAGTTCGGCAGAAAGTCCAGCAGAATCAGGATCACACATAGAAGGAAGAAAGGAGCAATTTAATTAGTTACTATGTTTTTTTAAAAAAAATGCAGCATCTGAAGATTTACATATTGCTAATGCTATGCCCCAATTTCAAGAACAAAGAACTGATTTCGTGACAGAAGCAAATGTAATCTTAAGCCTAAACAATATTATAATAAAGCTCTTATTCCTTTTTTCAAAAGTTTATCTTGCATGAAACTATGCCATGTAAGAAAAATACTTTTTCAAAAAAAAATCAGAGAAATAAAACTGGGGAGCAGCATCACGTTGTTTTTTAAAACTAAACATTCTAAAAAAATCTTTACATCAATTCCTTGAAGATAGAAAGCACTAATACAAACATACACAAAGAATTATGATTTCAGTATAGAAACTTCTGAGAGTGTTTTCCTTGAAATATTATCATTGGGAAAATAGTTTTAAAAATTAATGTAATAACATGCACTAATAAGCACAACTAAACATATGAATTAAGTATTTTGAAAAACTTCACAATAATCATACATATTAATCTCAAAGGTTGGACAGAACTCCCTAAAGTGTAGCAGTAAAATGTCAGTGCAAAAAACACCAAGGGTGATATTTAAATAAAATTTACAATTTCAGGGAGACAATAAAAAAATGGGACAGTTAATGTTATTCTATGTTTCTACTGATTATATGCCACACAAAAACTTAACAAAAGTAGTGTAAGTTTTTACTAGCTTTCAAACATATTACTACAAAATAAAGCCTCTACTGAAGGAAATAAATGCAATCACTGTGTTAAGCGCCATCTGTTCATAGTAGCCGTGCACTGCCTCTTTATCTCCCTGTATAAACTATCATTTTAAAAATCCAACTGCCAGCACGTCCTATTTCTCCACATTCTTAAAAGACTACATTTGAAGCAAATAGAATAATGATAAACGCTGCATTCAAATCTAAGACATACAATGCATTGCTTTTAACGTCTCTCCTCACGATGGATTTATAATTGGTGACAGGTCTGAGTCTAAATGGCAGTGCTTTTTCTTTCTTAGCAGCATGGGCGCCTCAAGATTTCATATAGTACTTTCAAAACTAAACTGTCTTTTCAAAACAGATAACCAAACAACTTCCCTTTCAAAACGTTATTCAGAACAAGCATTAACAAACACTGACTGAGAAAACAGTTTGCCTGTATAAAGTCCCATTTATATAGTGATAGACTTTAATGGAAATGATAAAAGCTATCATTCCTGCTATTAATATATTTAAATATAATAAAAATTACAACAGAAAAACCTTGTTTTCATAGTATTTAATCCACACAAAGATATCTTCACACTCTCAGATCAAGACAAAAAACTGTCTACTTTAAATTTATTAAATGTAATTTAAAATTCTGTGAAAAGAATGCCACAATAGTGGTTTAGAAATACAGAAAAACTTTAATGTTATTTTATAACTAAATTCCTTGCAATAAATCATGACAGGTAATATTTTTAACAAAAATATTTACTGAAAACTGTGTGTTCATACATATTGGACTTTTGTCCCCATCAAACATAAGGAGTCCACACAGGAAAAGAACACCATCATAAAATACTTGAACATTAGAATGCTGGTAAATGATGGATACAAATTAAAAGCACAGAAAAAAACTGTAATTAACACATGTATTTGCTATATACTGAGGTACCACAGCATGCCATAGACAGTAATCCTAATTCTTGGACTACTTAAAAACTATCTCAGCCGGATGCGGTGCCTCACGCCTGTAATCCCAGCACATTGGGAGGCCGAGGCGGGTGGATCACGAGGTCAAGAGTTTGAGACCAGCCTGGCCAACATAGGGAAACCCTGTCTCTATTAAAAATACAAAAATTAGCCAGGCATGGTGGTGCATGCCTGTAGCGTCCACTACTTGGGAGGCTGAGGCAGGAGAATTGTTTGTGGGAGGCGGAGGTTGCAGCAAGCCAAGATCGTGCCACTGCACACCAGCCTGGGCAACAGTGCGAGACTGTCTCAAAAGAAAAGGAAAAAAAAAAACTATCTGTAATAAATCAACATATGATGTCAAAAAATTTTCTTCTTCAATGGCTGCCAAAAGAAATGATACCAAATTATATTAAGTGTGAAGCTATCCTTGATGCAGAAGTGTACATTACTGAATATAATCGAAATAATGTTTATGATACATTACCACTGATCCATTATCTGGCATCATTGGAGTTCCCATATTTGCGGCTCCTTCTGGTCCCATGGCAGGACCAGGACCCATTGGTGGGCCAGGTATAGTTGCTCTGTTGTTCATATTCATACCCATCATTGGAGGAGGACCTTGGTTACCAGCAGGTGCTGGGCTAAACGCATCTATGTAAAACAATCTATACTTAGAGCTGTCCTATCTTAGTTTAGTAAACATTAAAATTTTAACAATATTTATGCAATCTATATACCAAGACCGTTATCAAAATTATTTTCACTCCTTGAGAATGGGGTATGCATTATCTACTCTGTAATACAGCATTACCTACACTCTAGAATTAGAATTTTCATCCCCAAGCCAAACGTACGTAAAATCAAGAAGGAAACTATCAATCATTTTAGGGCATTTGAGACTCTTAACAGTTTGCAAGCTTTGAGACATCAGTATTATTTGTTATAGTAGGCTTTTAAACCAAATAATCCCTAACAAAGGAGACTATATTTTACCACTTTAAACGAGTAACAAAGGATTAGCACTTACAAAACCACTTAATTTTTTTTTAACCCATGGCTTAAAATATTAGCATGTAAATTGTGCTAAGTTGCTAGAGAGGAAATCATTTCCTGCAATATATAAATAAAGATCATTATAACTAGTCTCTCATCTTAGTTTTTCTTCTTTCCTCCCTGAGTTGATGGAATACCTTGCTAAATTACAGGAGGCACTCTTTTTTTAACTTTTTATTTTGAAATATGGAATCTAAAGAAAAAAACTGAAATGACTTAAAAAAAAAACTGAAATAACAAAACGTATTTTTAAAAGCAACCACAACCAAATACAGATAAAATATTAATATAGCTATCTGGATCTTTCTGACAAGCTTAAATTCCATAAATGGGGACAATCTGATAATATTTCAAGTTTTTTCATTAAAAAAATCCATCTACCTCATATTAATTTAAACAGTGTTTGCACTCTAATACTACATATATGATGATCTCAGATACAACATATTTTTAGGCATTTTCTTTGAAAAATTTTTTTCCTTTTAAGTGTTATTGCTTGTTTATCATTAAAAATTTATAACAAAGCCATTCTAATTCAGGGTTTTCTTTAGTATTTCATTACACAGGTCAATTTTCTGACAATAAAAACTCAATTTCTCAAATATACACTATAATGAAGCTGAAATCTCTACATGGCTGAGTCCCTACCAGCCCCTGGCATCGTACTTCTGCCTTCAAATCCAATCCCCAGAAACCTAGCAAATTCATAGGAAGGAATTATTTCCTTCATCCCCAAACGCTCTTGCCAATAAACAGACTTTATCCAAGAGTATTTCCACTCCCTCACTATAGCCCTAAATAGCTATTTTTAATAATTTCTACAACTAGAAATGAAGAGAGTATAAGAACAGTATCTAAGAGGCATCTTACCTCAATTATCCCCCAGAAAACAAATTTAGTTTCTTTTTCCTCTCTTTCTCTTTAATAGAATGTAATTTTACAATGGTGGGTTCGAAAATAACTACACAACTATGGATGTAAAAAAATCAAAAATAATATTTCCAACTCACAGTAGTTAACTTAGAGTTTTACTTTTAGTACTCATATCTTCCACCACATAGCTATAAATAAATTTAAAGATCTAAGAAATGTTAGCATTATCTGGTTACTAGAAAGGTAGCATTATAATGTATGTTTCACTTGGTTATACACACTAGTGTCCTAGAAAATCTGCTGCCACTTTCCATCAATGTAACTTGATGAGTTATGACAGTTTTAACTTCTCAACAACCCAACTGGATGATAATGATTAATAGCTCTAGAAAACCTTTATGATGAAGTCTCACACTGAATGAAGACTGAAGAGAAAATGAGATAAACTGGACTTTAGGAGAGTAAGTGCTAAAATGTAAATAGGTCCTCTGGTGAATAAAATGTCACAAAAATTTTAAGTTATCTTCAATTCCTAACTAAATAAGGACTCTAAAGGCATATTCTTATATTTCTTCTGATAAAATTGCAGAGTATCTCTGTGCCATCAGAAATGGTTTTAAGTTTTATACTATTTTAAAGTTTAGCTCTGATGTTAATGTCACTCTAATAAGAACGGCCTTTTAAACTGCCATGTATAATCTATAATAATCTTATTCCTAAAATCCTTTAAATTACATGGATTGTATTATATACCATCCCAGCATTTACTCTAAAAAAAACACATGAATATTGGACCACTTGGACATCACTATACTCAATTATGTTTCTTAATTTAGAATGCAGACGCTCTCGGTTCATTAATTATTTCACGTATCCACTGCAGTAATTTCACAATTAAGTTCTTTATGGGCAAGGGCCATGTTTCTTGCTTCCTGCATATACCAGAGATATTTACTAACTACTCATTGGTAAAAAGTGACCAAGTAAACAGCAATATATGACTCTACATTATCTGATTAGTAGTACTGAAACACTGGCAATAGAAGTTTAAGAAAAAAAGCTTATCATGGAAAATGTTCATTTCACACGACTTAAGTTTCATTTGATAGACTATATATGCTAAGAACATACTTGATTTTGTAAATGGGTGTGCATGTTAAGTATATTGTTTGCCATGGTAGTATAATCTTTAAAACAGTATGTACATTTAAGTTATATAAAGATTTTTAGCTTCATAACAGCTTTTGTGGGACAACTAAATGTGGGACAGCTTTTGCGGGACAATTAATTTCATAAAATTTAATTCCTTACCCAACTTTTAAATGTATGACATTTCAAATTTCAAATTTAGTAAGGCCTATGAAATTTAGTAAGGCACGCTTGTTTGTCCTTTAAGTTATTTACTTGGCATTATTTTCCTTGCAACTTGGCTATACGAGCAAATCCATATTAAAGTTGCTAATATACTTCTTAAAAACTTAGTTAACTCTAAAACATGCATTGGCGACACACGTAATTCCCCTGATGAGTCATAGTCTACAAAGACTGAGTGCACTTCTGTACACAACACTGTAGGTTAAAAGAAAAAAGTTCAATATTCATTAGAGTGAAGGAAAACAGGTTTAAAGTTACACAAAAAGCTAGTTTAAGATAGAAATGTATATAAAACGCTCTCTAAAAGCCTAAAAACACACTCAGGACCTATCAATTTCCTGCTCAGAAACTATTCATTTCCAGTGTCCGATTAGGACAGGCCAGGTGGCTCATGCCTGTAATATCAGCACTTTGGGAAGCTAACGCGGGTAAACTGCTTGAGCCCCGGAGTTCAAGACCAGCCTGGGCAACATGGTGAAATCCTGTCTCTACTAAAAACACAAAAAATAAGCCAGGCATGGTGGCGCATGCCTGTAGTCCCAGCGACTTGGTAAGATGGAAGGACCACTTGAGCCCAGGAGGTAGAGGTTTCAGCGAGCTGAGATTGCACCACTATACTCCAGCCTGGGCAACACAGTGAGGCCCTGCCTCAAAAAACAAAACAAACAAACAAAAAGCCAATTAGCAGGAATATAATTTGATTTTAAAACTGCAAAGACAGAGCTGTATTACACAATGCAATGACTAAACTACTTTCAGGCTATATTACAACCTGGTTTATATGTTTCTTTCATTAAGCCTATGAATGTATAACACATCATTTAGCCTTCAAACAAAAACAAAATGAGAATTTTCTTCCCAAGCATATATTTTTAATATAGTTGTATGGTATTCCAGTTTAATGGATGTAAGAGATTTCACCTTTAGAAATGTTGGTTCCGTATTTTAGTTTCTTACTGATATAAGAATATACCACAAACAGCATAAACAGTCCCCCCAAAAATGATAAGTTACAAAAGCCTTTTGCTTCAAATCCCTACCTCCCATGTTTATTGCTCCACGGGGACCCATATCACCCATTCTCATTTCCTGTTCTCTCTGTAAGTAAACATAGTTGTCACAGTCAACCTATCGATCTTATGACTTTACATTTCCCATCTAAAATCAAAAAGAAAAGAGTGAATTGGGACATCATTTTCCATTAAAAATTTTGAAAAATTTCCATCATCATATACTTAATAAGAATGCTGAAAAGAAACTTCAGTCTCCCAGGCTTAATATACTACAAACACTTAATGCACTCAGTTTATATTGCAAGATTAGATTACTAATGAATCAGATTATATAAAACATACCACAGATTAATGTTTTTACTCCAACAGATGAAAGATACATGCCTACATTCCATGCAAAGGAAAATCTAGTAATAATAACCACCAAAGCCAATTATTTTCTCCTCCCAGGTCACTGAAGTCTTAAAAATAGAAATGACTGTTACCAAGTTCATATTGAAATGTATTCAAATATATAACACAAACAGCTTTAGGGAATTATGCTAAAAATAAGGTTACAATCTTCACTGTCTAAATTATAATTCATTCATGTATTTTTATTTATCTACTCAAGCATTATTCCATCTAGGGACTACAGAAAGCCCACACAAGCAATTACTGAAAGCTCAACATAACACTGCTTTCCTTTAACTGTGCAGTAATTTTATTTGAAAACCTGAATGAAAGTATTACACAGTTAACTATAAAACAGAAATATTCAAAACATTTGAAATTTCACTACAGAAACTGCTTCCTAAAAGCTCTTCATTTACCAACAATAGTGATATAGAATTAACTTCAATGAAATCTCTAAGTGAAATTACTCAAGATAACATACGAAAATTGCAATTTTCACTTTGACTTGATGACCATTTCCAATCACAGAAAACTTTGTTAAATATAGCAATCATGAAAAACATTCCATTATGAGACAATTGCAGAAATGTTTAAAGAAAGCATAATTACTGTACTTTTGAAAAAGCAATCTTATTAAAATCTAAATGTTCATTTAAAGTTCCATTTGATAATACAAAATACTGTTGAAAAGCACCTATAAAGCTGGAAATAAAATAAAAGCCTATGATGGAAACATAATTGCCATTAAGCCACAAGTGGCTCCTTAAAAAAACTGCCTAACTTAAACGGAGATGTCCAAAGGTAATCTTAATGAATGAAGTTAAGGTACAATGAATGAAGCTACAGTACAACAAAAACACCATCATGAAGAGATAAAAATGCTTTTTCACATTATTTAGAACATTTAAATGCCAACCTTTCTAAAACCTTCTTTTTTAATATTTTTTTTCAGAGACCCTCGCTCTGTTGCCCTGGCTGCAATGCAGTGGCGTCATCATAGCTCACTGCAGTCTCGAACTCCTGGGCTCAAGGGATCCTCCTGCCTCAGTTTCCCTAATAGATGGGACGACAAGCATGCACCATCATGCCTGGCGAATTTTTTGATTTTTTTTTAATAGAGATAGGGTCTCACTATGTCGACCAGGCTGGTATCTAACTCCTGGGTTCAAGCAATCCTCCTGCCTCACGCTCGCAATGTGCTGGGATTACAAGCGTGAATCACCACGTCCAGCCCTAAAAGCCATGTTTTAACTTTCCTAAAAATAAATTTCTCATCGTAACAGTTGTGACCATTAATGGATACTATTACTGACCTGCAAAAAAAGCTAGACTGAGGTGGGGTGCAGTGGCTCACGCCTGTAATCCCAACACTCTGGGAGGCTGAGGCAGGCAGATCACCTGAGGTCAGGAGTTCAAGACCAGCCTGGTAAACATGGTGAAACCCCGTTTCTACTAAAAATACAAAAAAATTAGTCAGGCGTGGTGGTGGGTAACTGTAGTCCCAACTATTCGGGAGGCTGAGGCAGGAGAATGGCGTGAACCCAGGAGGCAGAGGTTGCAGTGAGCCGAGATCGCACCACTGCACTCCAGCCTAGGCAACAAAGTGAGACTCCGTCTCAAAAAACAAAAAAACAAAAAAACAGAAACCCTGTCTCTACTAATAAAACAAAAAAATTAGCTGGGCAGTAGTGGCACATGCCTATAATCCTACCTCCTCAAGAGGCTGCGGCAGGAGAATCGCTTGAACCCAGGAGGCAGGGGTTGCAGTGAACCAAAATTGCACTATTGCACTCCAGCCTGGGCAACAAGAGCAAAACTCTGTCTCAAAAAAAAAAAAAAGCAAGCTAGACTGTGATATAAAATTGGCTACTGATCAAGCATTACATTTAGAAAACTATTTGAAAATAAAGATTATGTTTATCACTACTTTCAGTAGACCAAATCAAACTGCCATTTCCTTATCACTACTTAGAAACTACTGATAGGTTCTCAGAACCTACTGATAAAAGTGAAGAATGCTTCAACACACCCAAAATCTTCTAGCTATAAAAATAGTATCTATAGATACGTATCTGTAACAAGCAAATACAGTAGATCTTCTGTTGTTGAGAAGCTGGTTACACACCTGCATCATCGAGTAAAATATATGGATTTCATAGTCATGACTTTCGGGGAGGACAGGAATTCAATTTATAGTTTTACTTTTGAATTTGTCTTCACTATAAAAGGTTAGAAATTCAATATCTAACCACTAATACAGGGAAATTATTTACAGTCTCACTGCTTGAGATTTCAATTACCCCTTATATACCCTAATAGCTTAACTATTGGCCTGTGATTCACTGGCAGGAAAAAAGGGCACAAATAATCTTTTTTACTGTCTCTTTATATTCTCAGCTTTATGTATCACTTTCTAGAATAACTTTCTAGAATACTGTGAGCTTTATTATTCACAAAGTACCTTCTTTTACTATTATTATTTGTTTGTTTGTTTTGAGACGGAGTCTCGCTCTGTCGCCCAGACTGGAGTGCAGTGGCTCAATCTTGGCTCACCGCAAACTCTGCCTCCCAGGTTCACGCCATTCTCCTGCCTCAGCCTCCTGAGTAGCTGGGACTACAGGCGCAGCCACCACGCCCGGCTAATTTTTTTGTATTTTTAGTAGAGACGGGGTTTCACCGTGTTAGCCAGGATAGTCTAGATCTCCTGACCTCATGATCCGCCCATCTCAGCCTCCCAAAGTGCTAGGATTACAGGCGTGAGCCACTGCGCCCAGCCCCTTCTTTTATTATTAAATCCATTGTCACTAAAAAAATTTCATGGGAAATGTATCAATGTACCAAAAATAACTATGGTTTTAAGTCAACTATTAAACACGAACATTCCCCTTCTGGTGGTATATTGTAAATCGGTACAAGTTCTAAAACACCGTTCTCTAAATGAGATAATCAGAATATCTTAGAATACTCCAGGCTACTATAGTATATTACTGTATTAAAATACCAATTAAAAAATAAATTTAAAAAATAACCAATTCATGAGGCACATTACAGCATTTTTCACTAAATATATATATACACACTTGTATTTAGTAATGTTGACAATATCTTAAAGATGTACTGAATACTATTTTACACAGCTTTGCTCTTAAAAAAAAAGAGTGTAATTTGATGACATCATTTTGTAACTATTTTAGAAGGGGTAAAAGAAATTTTCAGTTTCCCAGTCATGTCTTCAGGCTGTTACTTTCTAGAAACCCACCGCTACAAACTTCTAGTAAAATACAAAAGAGGTAGAGATTATATTAAGATGATTTTGTAAAATGAAATACAGCATTCTTCACTATCACTAAGTCTATCAAATATTAATAAGAATCACTTGAAGAAATTCCCAAATGTGTGCCCATCCAACAAGCAATACACAAGACCCCTCCTTCCTTCTATGAATGGCTTTTAGTAACACTTCTAATCAGAATTTAAGTTAGAACCAGTGCGTATATGTGATATTTTTACAAATTTAAACAATGTTTTATTACATTACAAAAAATTAAGAGTTGTGGTTTAAGCCAAAACAAATTATTTATAACCAACATCTCAAAAGACTGCAGTGTGCTAAAATAAAGCTATGATGAAAACTCAGTTTTACATTATTGATTCAACTCTATGAAGTAGGCCTACTGTTACCTCATTTTAGACATAATGAAACTGAGGCACCAAGTTGAATAACTTAGTCAAGGTAATACGGATACTAAGTGGCTGAGCTAGTCTATACGATTCTACTAAAAAAGAGTTACAAAATTCTTGACGTTCACAAGATACTTTCATTCTTCAAAAATTCCAACATATCTCCATGTCCCAGACAGCCAAAAAAAAAAAAAAGAATTCCAACAGGTGAAGCCTAATAAAAGGTGAGATTTTTTTTTTTTTTTTTTTTTTTTTGAGACGGAGTCTCGCTCTGTCGCCCAGGCTGGAGTGCAGTGGCGCAATCTCGGCTCACTGCAAGCTCCGCCTCCCGGGTTCACGCCATTCTCCTACCTCAGCCTCCCGAGTAGCTGGGACTACAGGCGCCCGCCACTGCGCCCGGCTAATTTTTTTCTATTTTTTAGTAGAGACGGGGTTTCACCATGGTCTCGATCTCCTGACCTTGTGATCCGCCCGCCTCGGCCTCCCAAAGTGCTGGGATTACAGGCGTGAGCCACCGCACCCGGCCTTTTAACTTATCTTTGCAGTATTTATAAGACTGTATGCCTTTCCATGAAAAAGAATTATACATATGTATTCCTGAAAGCTTGGAATGCAAGTGTACTTAAATTAACAGATGACCAAAAAGGAGGCAAAGTATGACTAATTCCCAGAACCACATGTCAAAAGAGCATTCCATCATCGCAGCGTTCTTAACGTGTAGGTCATGGAGTTCTAAGAGTCCCTAAGACTCAGGAAGTGCAGTCATAAGTATTTCATGTTTTCCTAGCACTAAGATATAGTTAGTTATAATATATCATCAGACTTTTCTCTGTGTCAACATTTACTACATTCAATGGTGCAAAAGTAATGACTGGGAAAAGTCCCAGCACTTTAGCACAAGCCAAGAGACCTGGGCCCAATTTTTACTAATAACCACTGCATTTGACACATAGATAAAATTGTATTTTCAATTTTTAAACTATGAATACCTGGAGGAAGCAGTAAAAG